TTTTTTTATATATATAAACAAATATATCAAGACAACATCCAACTCTATATTGTAACATCAAGCTATGTTATATATTTCTTTAAAGATAAACTCTTCAGAGCAACTAATGGAGTGTTTTGTCTTTGTGCACAAATTAAAATCCAGCTCCATGTTTTCCTGTCTGTCATTTCTCCTCACTAGCATCGCAAACGTCGCCGTCACCAAATGTGTTGAACATTTGTTCATCCGTAATGCTGGCTACAGATGAAGACTTGCAGACAGATGCAGGCGAGCTAATGGATGCTAATGCAGCAGTGGAAGGCTGTAGAAAATCATGCACTCTTCAGCATTTAGAAAAAGCTTGTGCTTAACCAGGTTCTTTCTCAAACCAGATGCGTTTCCTCCGCTGGCCTTGTGCTTTGTGTTACAAATATTGCAACAAGCATAATTTGCATTGCATTTTGAAAAGCGGAGCCATACCTTTTAGCGTTTTGTACCGGCTATGCTGACTTTGTTTACTGAAGTAGCGGCTGCTGACGTCATCACGTCCTTGGGCTGCTGTGCTGCTTTCAGGACAAGCATGGAAAACCCCCACTCTTCCTCCATAGGGTCACAATCATGTGCTTATATAGCGAAACATGGTACTGTTTGATTATACTTGAATGGGCACCTGGTAGTATCAGCAGAATTCAGTCGGTACCAATAAAAGTTCGGTACCCATCCCTACAGGTGACCCTGCTGGACCAATCAGAGTCTCTCCCTCTCTCCTCAGGTGTACTTCCTGTGTCAGCAGCAGCTTTCCCTGCCTCTGGTGTAAATTTCGCCACATCTGCACCAACAACCTGAAGGACTGCTCCTTCCAGGAGGGCCGGGTCAGCAGCATGGAGGTGAGCTTCTTCTGGGAACAGTTTGGGAACATTTTGGGAAAAATGTGTGGACATTTTGGGAACAGTTTAGGAATGTTCTGGGAACATTCTGGGAAAAGTGTGGGAAGGTTGGGAACAATCAGAGGTTGGCGGTGATGTTACCGTGGAAACAGGGTCGTGAGGAAAGTTTTCCGATTTGTGGAAACCGGGTCAGTCTGGAGGTTTCAGGATGGACATTTTCTGAACTGGGTCAGAACCGAGACAGAACCCCTTAATGTTTGCATGTGTCACTGCAGGGCTGTCCCCAGATCCTCCCCACCGCTGACATCCTGGTTCCGGCTGGGATGGTGCGTCCGATCACGCTCCGGGCCCGGAACCTGCCGCAGCCACAGTCGGGTCAGAAGAACTACGAGTGCGTGTTCAGCATCCAGGGCAAGGTGCAGCGCATCCCCGCCGTGCGCTTCAACTCCTCCTGCATCCAGTGCCAGAACACCTCGGTAAGCGGGCCCGACCCGGGAAGAAGTGATCCGGGCCTGACCCATTGTCCAGGTTCTGCCCGTCGGTAGGGAAGAGGCAGGCAGAGTTCTGTTTCCTGGGCCTGGATCTGAAAATGTCTCCAGGCATTGTTCTTTGTTGATTTGTCTGGATTTGTCTGGTCCAAACCGGTCCAATGAGCTGATATACAACTCACCCGGTCCTTATTGGACCGGTCCAAACTAGTCCCGGTCCACCGTCTGGACCTCGGTCTTCACCAAGACACACCTTCTGACACAGATCCGTCTCTTTCTGAGAATGCACACCGTCTGCTCATCTCCTGTCCTTCATCTCTCTGTCAGCAAGGCTGCCCCCAACACACACACACACAGACACACACACAGACGCAGACACACACACACAGACACACACACACACAGACACACACACAGACGCAGACACACACACGCAGACACACAGACAGACAGAGACACACACACACACAGACGCAGACACACACACACAGACACACACACACAGACACAGACACACACACAGACATACGCAGACACACACACGCAGACACACACAATGACACAGACACAGACAGACAGACACACACACAGACAGACAGACACAGACACACACACGCAGACACACAGACACACACACACACACACACACACACACACACACACCACGCTGCCCCTGCAGACAGACCCTCAGTGTGTCTTTAATTAAATCTTGGCTCCCGGAGGAAATTGCCCATTTAGCCGTAAACTCCCAGAATTCCTGCTGGCTCCGTCTCCACGACAAAGACCCGTCTCTCAGCTGACGGGCCAGGTTCTGTGGGAGCTGGAGTGGAACCAGAACCAACTAAATGCTGCTGGTTCTGCTCAGTCACCTGACTGTAAATGATCATGTGTAATTTTCTGATGTGAAGTCTCGATGTTGAAGGAGGTTCTGGTTCTGGTTCTGCAGTACTGGTACGAAGGAGATGAGGCCGGAGACCTCCAGGTGGACTTCTCCATCGTCTGGGACGAAAACTTCCTGATTGACAAGCCCACCTTCATGAAAGGTATTTGTCCTTCATTCATTCAGGCGGTTATCAGTGATTATTAATCTGAGGGACAATTAATAACCAGAACCACCCCAGTGGGCCAGAGGTCGATTCTGATTCTGCCTGTTGGACTTCTCCACAGCTTTGCTGTATAAGTGTGAAGCGCAGCGCTCCAGCTGTGGCCAGTGCCTCAAAGCGCCCCCTGTGTTCGAGTGCGGGTGGTGCGTGGAGAGCAGGAAGTGTCTCCTGCGGCAGCACTGCCCCTCGCCGGAGCAGAACTGGATGCACCACGGCCGCCACAACCTGCGCTGCAGCCATCCGCGCATCACCAAGGTGGGTCTTCCACAGCATTCCCCTCAGGGTTCTGTTGGGCACTTCTGACCCGCCGTCTCCTGCAGATCGACCCGCTGACCGGACCCCGCGAGGGCGGCACCCGCGTCGCCATTGAGGGCGAGAACCTGGGTCTGCAGGTCAAGGAGATCACGCACATCCAGGTGGCCGGCGTCCGCTGCAACCCGGTGCCGTCGCTGTACGTCAGCGCTGAGAGGTCAGTGTGGCGAGTCTGGGTCAACACGCTAGGTAACAGGCTAGCAAAGATGTTAGCCTGTTAGCTAGCCTGTAATAGCAAACATGCTAAGGAACATGCTAAAAGATGCTAAGCAGGCGTACTCCTGACTCTGCCGGGCCGTCTGCAGGATCGTGTGCGACATGGCCGAAGCCCTGCTGCCCCACTCGCCCGGCGGGCCGGTGGAGCTCTGCATCGGCGTGTGCAGCGCCGAGTACCGGACCCTGTCCACCCAGACCTACTCCTTCGTGGTGAGTCTCCACTGGGCCCAGTTAGCTTCTCAGATACAGGTTCTAGTTAGCTTTCCATGTAAGAAGCTTATGTAGCGTAGTTGAATCTGCGCTGTGTCTTGTGGGAATAACAGCCAGACAACAGCTGATCTAAAGGCACTTTTAATACTCCTGCATTCAAACAGCAGAAAATAATCCAAACAGGATCTTTCTCCTCACAATGCTCCACAGCACCTGTTTAACACAGTTCGAGAGCCCCAAAGCACATTATTTTACAAAACATATCACTTATACTTAAAATACACTTATTAAACACAGAAAACAAAACTTCTTACCTTCTTCCACAGAATCCAAACAGAAAGAGCGGGAAAACCTTTCATGAACTATAATGGTGTGACCCGTTACTTTTTCTTCTTAAACCCCGAATTGACACTCAAAACAATATATGAACTCAATATATTCAACAGTAGAGATAACAATTCACATTTTCATTCACAACACACCACATTTAAATAAAAATAATAATTTGGAAACGGGAAGTTACCTGCTGTTTTGCAATGGATCTGCCGTCTTTTCAAAATAAAAGCTGCCAGTGCTCATATGAGTTCCCACTGGAATAGCTTATCACTTGACAATCTAGTGTAACAACATCACACTGCTACACTTAGTTAGCTTCTTAGGTCTAGAAGACGAAAAACCTGGTCATAATTCTGGTCAGAACGGCCGATCCAATCCGTTTCGTGATTAAAATGATTCCCTGGTTTCCTCAGAGCCCAAGCTTCACCCGGATCCGCCCCCTGATGGGGCCCGTCTCCGGAGGAACCCGGCTGACGGTGATCGGGCGACACCTGGACTCCGGCAGCGGCGTCTCTGTGTTTGTCCACAAGGAGGAGTGTCTGTTTGTGAAGTGAGTCCATTGGGGAAGCTTCAGGTTCTTGAGCAGACGGGAAGCCGGCCCAGAAAACCTCCAGACCACCGGCAGGTTAACGGCATCTCTCCTCCTGCAGGCGCACCAATCGGGAGATAGTCTGCATAACACCCGCCTCGCCAACCGGCGCCGGCCTTGCCCCCGTGCGCCTGATGATCGACCGGGCCGAGGTGACCAACACCGAGGTCAGCTACAGCTACAGCGAGGACCCAACCATCTCCGGCATCGAGCCCAACTGGACCATCCTCAAGTGAGATCGGTTTCACTGCTGCGCCGCAAACAAGCACTCAGACTTCCTATACTGCCTCCTTACAACCACAGACTTCATTAGTGTTTACTGTGAAAAACCAACATGACGGTTTACAACTGGGAAGGAAAATGTTCACAATTTAAACAGATAAAAAACTGAAAAGTGCGGTGTGCAAAAGTTAGATGTTAGGAACATCTGGATCAATTGGGGGTCTGGTGGAGCTCATCATTAATCAATGTCCGGTTGTAGATCCAAAGCCAGGAACTGAGCCATCAGAACCAGAACCGACCCAGAACCCTGACCCCATCCCTGTGTGTTTGTCCAGTGGCAGCACGCTGATCACGGTGACCGGAACCAACCTGCAGACCATCCAGGAGCCAAAGGTCAGGGCCAAGTACGGCGGCGTGGAGACCAGCAACGTAAGACACCAGCTGGAGCGCCGCCTCCTCTTCATCCTTCTTCCTCTTGGTCCTCTTCATCCTCCTCTTCCTCTGCAGTACTGCACCGTGGTCAACAACAGCACCATGACCTGCCTGGCTCCCGGCCTCGTCTACAACAAGCCTGACCCGCCAGAGGGGGCGCTGCGGCCCGATGAGTTCGGCTTCATCTTGGACCAGGTACCAGCTGGGTTCTGATGTGTTTCCGGTCTGGTTCTGACCGGGTTGTGTGTGTGGACTCCATGCCAGCTCTCGCTCTCCTCCACCTGTCCAGGTGTCGTCTCTGCTGGTCCTGAACTCCACCCCTTTTACCCACTACCCCAACCCGACCTTCGACCCGCTCGGCCCCGCCGGGATCCTGGAGGTCAAGCCGGGTTCCCCCATCATTCTGAAGGTCAGAGGTCACGGGAGCGACGTGCAGGGCGTGGCAGGGCTTACCTGCGGCTCACCAGGTGTGTTCTGGTTCCAGGGGAAGAACCTGATCCCGGCGGCGCCCGGCAACGCCCGGCTGAACTACACCGTCCTCATCGGAGAATCGCCCTGCCTGCTCACCGTCTCTGAGAACCAGCTGCTCTGCGACTCGCCGGACCTGACCGGGGAGCAGCGGGTCGCGGTGAGTCCTGACTGGTTCTGATTGGTCCGCTCAGGACGAGGACCGACTGTCCCCACACGGGACAGTCCATATGGGGACAGTGCGGTTCCGTCCGGACGGGCCCATCTGGAGCTTTTGGGAACGTTCCTGACCCATCGCAGGTCCAGTTGGGACCAGTTCTCTTTGAACTGGGACTGGATCCTCACGGCTTCTACTGGTTTCCCTCTGTGGCGCTGGGACCAGTTTGGAGCTCCAGGATGAAGATCTGCAGATGCTAATCAACCATCATCATCATTTACACAAACGATCCACATTGAGCTTAGCCTGAAACGTTGCGCCACATTGGATTCTCTGCCACGCAAAATCTCTGAGTGAACACTTCACACAGTCAGGACCCGACCCGCTGCGTGAAGCAGGTCGGTCCTTCATTGAAGGAGGAAGAGGAAGGAGCTGTAAAGGTGAAGGTCATTAGCTACAGCTACAAGTGAGATTAACTGGAGCTAATGAAGATAGTTGGTGCTAATGAAGCTAATTTTGAGCTAATTGGAGCTGATGAAACTAATTGGAGCTAACATAGCTAATTTGAGCTAATGAAGCTAATTGGAGTTAATGAAGCTAATTGGAGCTAATGAAGCTAATTGGAACAAATTGGAGCTAATTGGAGTTAATGAAGGTAATTGGTGCTAATGTAGCTAATTGGTGCTAATTGGAGTTAATGAAGCTAATTGGAACTAATGAAGCTAATTGGAGCTAATTGGAGTTAATTGGTGCTAATGAAGCTAATTGGAGCTAATGAAGCTAATTGGAGCTAATTGGAGTTAATGAAGCTAATTGGAACTAATGAAGCTAATTGGAGCTAATTGGAGTTAATTGGTGCTAATGAAGCTAATTGGAGCTAATGAAGCTAATTGGAACTAATTGGAGCTAATTGGAGTTAATTGGTGTTAATGAAGCTAATTGGAGCTAATGAAGCTAATTGGAGCTAATTGGAGTTAATGAAGGTAATTGCTATGATATCAGAATCTTGCCAGATGAATTCTGCATAAGCTGATGAAACGCAGCTTCAGCGTCTCAATAAGATCTAGAAATCTACTGTAGTTTATAGAGCTGCAGATTCCAGATTCTGAACCTGAAGTCAGGCTTCGCTGGCAGCTATTGATACATTATTAATATCATTGATTATTAAACATCAGAGCGCCGTTATTAATTCATCAGTTTGTTCAAACTGGATCAATATTTACTCTGCAAACAGGAAACACTTTAATCTGAGCTGAGATGAAGACTCACCTGAACACCAGTTGGAGCGCAGAGTGTGTGTGTGTGAGGGTGTGTGTGTTTTATAAACTGTAAAACTCTGTCAATCTTTCATAAGCCATTAATTATATAAATATTTATGTTAAATTTTTTATCCATACAGAATTTAATAAAGTTAAAGCAAACAGCATGTTTATATATTGTTCTATTTATTGTTTTTAATCGTTTCTTTTCGTCTCATTACTGCATGAGTGATTTTTTTAATTATTTTTTTCAGTTATTAGCCGAAAATATATGTAACATAACTAAAAAAATATACTTATGGGTATAATAATAATAACAAATGTAATGCATTATATGTACATGTATGTATATCATATGGTAATATATATACGTACATATTAATCAATTATGTTTAACAACATAATTTTTAGTGGGTGTGGTGGCGCGGGGGTTCAGCACACTCCACATATGGAGGCCTCAGTCCTCCACGCGGCCGTCGCAGGTTCGATTCCCGTCTGGCAACCTTTGCATCCCCTTCTCTCGTTACCGTATTTCAATTCACTATCAAATAAAGGCCACTAGAGCCAATAAAAAGAGAAAACATTTATGTAAAATGAATTAAAGGCCTTTTTTTTTCATGGCCAAACCTCTGGTCACATGACCCTTGACCCTAACCTGCCTGTCCTCCTGTAGATCCAGGTGGGCGGTCTGGAGTACTTCCCGGGGATTCTCCACATTTACTCCGACAACACGCTGACGCTGCCCGCCATCATCGGCATCGGCGCGGGCGGCGGCGTTCTGCTCATCGCCATCATCGCCGTGCTCATCGCCTACAAGAGGAAGACCCGAGACGCCGACCGGACGCTGAAGCGCCTGCAGCTGCAGATGGACAACTTGGAGAGCCGGGTGGCGCTAGAGTGCAAAGAAGGTGGGTGATCGCTTGGCTCCATCACCCTCGGTCCACTCATGAATATAACTTCCTGTCCGTCCTGCAGCCTTCGCCGAGCTGCAGACTGACATCCAGGAGCTGACCAACGACATGGACGGAGTCAAGATCCCCTTCCTGGAGTATCGGACCTACACCATGAGGGTCATGTTCCCCGGCATAGAGGAGCACCCGGTGCTCAAGGAGCTCGATGTACGTACGACCGCCGATTCGGCCCAAACCCACGCTTCTACCGAGCCTCGCGCCCCAGACGGTCCCGACCAGAACCCAGCTGGTAACGCTTCTCTCTCCCTGCAGTCTCCTGCCAACGTGGAGAAAGCTCTGCGTCTCTTCAGCCAGCTGCTCAACAACAAGATGTTCCTGCTCAGCTTCATCCACACGCTGGAGGCCCAGAGGTCCTTCTCCATGCGGGACCGAGGGAACGTCGCCTCCCTGCTGATGGCCGCTCTGCAGGTACCGACCTGAAAGTCTGGGAACGGCCCAAAGGCCCCAAAGGCCCGGGAAATAAATAATAATTATCAATTCAAATTCTTCTTTCTTCTGCTTTCCTTCCATCTCTGTGCCACAATCTGCACAGGTCTCATGTCGCCCCTAACAAGATAACGCCCTGGGTGGTTGCTCATATGGCCCGTGTCAGAAACCACCACTGTCTGAATCATTAAACACAGCAACCATGGCAATGCACTAACAGTAAACAGTCATCCATGAACACTGACCAAGGAGCAACTAGCAAGAAATAACTGGACTGTTGTCTCTCTGTCTCCTGCATGAAACCAGACGGCACACAGATGATGGGTGACAAAAATAATCAAAGAGCAAAGAACATTCTCTTTGTGTGATGTTACGTTCTTGTATTTTATTTATTCAATGATTAAATAAATATTTTAATAATGCAACAGACTGGCGACCTGTCCAGGTGACCCCGCCTCTCACCCGGAAAGTTAGCTGGAGGCAGCAGCTCCTGCTGACCCCACTAGGGGGACAAGGGTCCAGAAATGGGTGGATATATTTAGTAAAATAGAATAATGATAGAATGGCTACAAAGAACGGCTCTCAGTGAGACTCCAGTCCTGTCGATTACAGTGAAGAGCCGTTCAGAAGAATCGGATCGTTCGTGAGTCACATGACTATATTAGACTTTGTCTCAGCATCGTTGCACATGTGCAACACTTCAGTCAACAACAAGCGCAGGAAGTGACGGCATTTATCATCGCAAACGCAACATACGTGTCCCTGTACAGCTAGCTTTGCTAGCATCACCTCACAGAGCTCACCTTCCTTTGAGCTTCTTTTCTAAGTGACACTAAAAGTTAGTTGTAGCCGCACCGTCTGTGAAAGCGAAGCGCTGCTGAATTTACATGTCGCCATGTCTGATGATTTATGTAGCGGATTTTTATTACCGACAATTACAGACATCTTCTGCCGCTCAGAGGAAACCACTGCATGTGTCAGAGCGCCGCGTGCTAAAGGGAGTTAAAGGGGGCCGACGGGGGGCAGCAGGAAACACAAACACGTAATTAGTAAGTTATGTTATTACATGTGGTGCCGATTCAGTGATATTTCCACAGTTGTGGTCTTGAAATAAAATCCAGAGTCGTCAACGACCGAGACCATCAAGAAGTATTCTTGAGACCAAGACTGGTCTCAGGTACTACAACACTAGCTGAACCACAGAGGACCGAGCACAGAACCCTGAGGGACACCGTACATAATTCAATCCCAGACTATGATTCTGACCTGTGACCTCTAACCTGTCTCCTCAGGGTCGGATGGAGTACGCCACGGTGGTGCTGAAGCAGCTGCTGGCGGATCTGATAGAGAAGAACCTGGAGAACCGGAACCACCCCAAGCTGCTCCTCAGGAGGTTCGCTCTGGCACCCACAGTACCACACCAAGTCGGTTCCTATGTGACCTTTGACCTTTGTCTGTTTAGAACAGAGTCTGTTGCTGAGAAGATGCTGACCAACTGGTTCACCTTCCTGCTGCATCGCTTCCTGAAGGTAACCCCGCCCCCCGGGCTGCCGGCCAATCAGATCATTGCTGTGGAGGACGAGCAGAGGAGAGTTGGACGCTGATGGGCCTGTGGCCCCCCACCCCGAATGTCTTCCCTCCCCGCTTTCCCCCACAGGAGTGCGCCGGGGAGCCGCTCTTCATGCTCTACTGCGCCATCAAGCAGCAGATGGAGAAAGGGCCGATCGACGCCATCACCGGAGAGGCGCGCTACTCTCTGAGCGAAGACAAGCTGATCCGGCAGCAGATTGACTACAAGCAGCTGGTAAAGGTTCTGGTTCTGGTTCTAGAGCTGAGGGTCCACCTTTCAGAACCGAACCTTTGAACCTCAGTAGTTTTACTGTTTACCGAGTCCGGCCTGGATCGCTGAGCCGTTTCCATAGCAACGGGCTTCCCATTAGGATTAGAAGCAGACTGAAGGTTCACTGCTTAATATGGAACCAGAACAGGACCGATCCAGAACTGATCTGGAACCGATCCGGAAATTGCCAGGAGCTCACAAAAGAAAACAGGTGGTCAGAACCGAGCTAACGGGCCCGGCAGGTCGCGGGCCGGTTCTGCGGAGACTGCGGTCTTCGGTTGTCCTGGTTCCGATCCCAGTTGATGTATTTTGGACATTTAAAATGTTTTCCAGTTCAATGATCTTCAGAACACTGAGAGGATTTTCCCTTTAGCATATTATCATTTATCGCAATGAATCCTGGGAAAACGTATCATCCAGATAGACGCGGTATCAGGTCTGCCTGGTACAGAGCCTTCCATGGTCTGTCGGTTCTGATTGGACCGACAGGCAGAGCCTTCCTTACTCTGAAATGTAGCCTGACTCCCAGTGATCCCGTCACTCGTTCTGACCCGGCATTCTGGTTTCAGAGCCCAATCTGAGCTTTCAACCAGAACCCAGTCCTCTGGTTGCTGATCCCAGATCTGGGACAGAACCGGGTCAGAACTGGGTCAGACTTCAGGCTGGGGTCCCACTGGGCTCCTTAACTGGACCTCCAGGCAGCAGGCCAGATTCTGAGATGTTCTGCTGCTGATTTCTGGAGCAGGAATTTTGTAGAAACGGAGCATCTCTCCCTCAGACGCTGATGTGCATCCCTCCGGAGGGCGAAGCCGGAACCGAGGTGCCGGTGAAGGTTCTGAACTGTGACACAGTGACCCAGGTCAAAGACAAGCTGCTGGACGCCGTCTACAAAGGAATCCCGTTCTCCCAGCGGCCGCAGGCTGACGACATGGACCTCGGTACCGCTCCACCACGCTTCCTGGTTCTGCTGGCCCCGTCTGACCTGTTCTGACCCGTTCTGTTAACGGTTCTGTGTTCTCAGAGTGGCGGCAGGGCCGACTGACCCGGATTATCCTACAGGATGAAGACGTGACGACCAAGATAGAGAGCGACTGGAAAAGGCTGAACACGTTGGCTCACTACCAGGTACGGAACCGGGCCCACCAGAACCGGGTCAGAGGATGGTACTGGTACATGTTTTACTGAGTTAAAGAGAACCGGGTCCAGATCAGGTCCGGTTCTTGCTTACAGAATGTTGTTGGTGGAAACGGGCCGGTGAAGCGGTTCGCCGACTGATGTGTGGTTCTGGTTGCTAGGTAACAGATGGTTCCCTGGTGGCGCTGGTCCAGAAGCAGGTTTCTGCCTACAACATCGCCAACTCCTTCACCTTCACCAGATCCCTCAGCAGATACGGTGAGCCGGACCGGTCGCTGCAGTCGGGTTTAACGGGTCGGGTTCAGCTACCGAGTCCAGATCCAGGACTTCTACCTTATCAGTCCTAAAGACCAGCTCGCTGTGGGAAAAGCTGAATGCTTCCAGACTGATTGTAGTTTTATTTATGTCACCATAAATATTTTGGTTCTCATCTGTTCGTCTCCGCCATCAGAGTCCTTACTGCGGACGTCCAGCAGTCCCGACAGCCTGAGATCCAGAGCTCCAATGATCACCCCAGACCAGGAGACAGGTACTGCAGAAACATCCGAGATCCTCATGGAGTAGACCTGGGTGTTTGTAGGAGCCAGGCATGACTCAGTAGAGATCCGGCTTGGCCTCTGGTGACGCTCCACCATTGTCTGTTTGCAGGAACTAAACTTTGGCACCTGGTGAAGAACCATGAGCACAGCGACCAGAGAGAAGGAGACCGGGGCAGCAAGATGGTCTCTGAGATCTACCTGACCAGACTGCTGGCCACCAAGGTAACGCCTTAAAACAGACTGCTGGCCACCAAGAGTTCTTGGCTCTTTTGCAGAAGCTATGCCACATAGTCGGAAAGTCTTGGCAAAGACGTGCAGTGGAGTCTTTGGTCCCACTGGAACGAGTCGGACCCAGGAATCTCCACAGAGATTATTTGGGCTGGTTTTGGCTCAGGATCCACCTGAGATGCTCCAGTTCAGGAAAACAAAAAGAAGGGAACAAGAAGATGGGTAGACTGTGGTACGACTGTTGATCACTCTGCAGGCTGTAGATCAGTGGTCCCCAAACTACGGCCCACGGGCCGGATCTGGCCCGCCTCCACATTTGGTCCGGCTACCTGAACAATACCAGAGAGCATTTAGATTTTAAACAAAACAGTACCAGACCACATTCTCAGGTGAGAAAGACTCTCCCAGTATAAATTATTATAATTACACCTTGCAGAAATTAATTTAATCATAGAATGTCATGACTATGTAGGGCTCCACCAATTTCAGTTTTCTGGCCGATCACAGATTACCAATCTTTGAAAAGCTTTACCTTTCAATTTAGATTTTTCTCTACACTAAGTTTTTTGTCTGAAATGTTGCTAAATAAAGCAAGAAAGTCACTGAGTTTCCACAGTGGGTGAATATTAACTGTAAAGGTTCAGACCTGTTGGTCTGTCAGTCAAACCTCTCGCTGCAGAGCAGAAGAGGACAGAGTTTGAGTTATGAAGATCAGCTTCACATGTAAGCATTGGCAGATCACCCATCCCCCAAAGTTAAGGAAATCGGTGCCAATAAATGGGCCAACACACATATCCTATATTATACTTGCATATTGGATATAATGTAAACATCACTGTCAGAGATGCAATAAGTTTAGCAGGTTTATGAATGATCTAACAATCTCACTGTTGACTGCAGCCAGTCTGCAATATAAGCAAAACAAAAGGGTCCAAAAACCAAATTTCGCTTAGGGCCCCATGAAGGCTTGCCTGTGCAGCTGGTCTCCTCTTTCCTTCACTCTGCGCAAACGCAGCAACAAATCCGAAGCGATATATATACATGACTATATCGCACTGAGTGAAAGGGGAAGTTTGCGTGTTGTTGCGAAAGATTGAAGCAGGTCAAAATGCATCAACACGACGAATCT